AAACTTTGTGGCAACCTTGCCACATTAGTTGCCACAAGTGCTAATTTGCATGCGAAAATATGCATATGCTGCAAGCTTGCCGCAAATCACTTGTGGTACACACGCCACAAAGTTGTGGCAAGCTTGCCACAAGTATGTGCCAGAAGCCTTGTATTTCCGTAAGGGTTATCCTCAATTTTATCCAGTCTACATAATATTAAATCCAATTTTTCGGAATCTGTCTGTTTCGGTCTCTCAATACTGCATGTAGTATGCATGGCAATTTCTTCGGCACATTCTACACGACGTGCCTTGTGGGGTGCACCATCCATCTGTGGACTAATGGCGTCATCAATATGGCTGTCAATCCCTGTCGACTCACCAACAGGACTGCGGATATCCCTTGGACATTTCTTTCCAGTTTCACAGACATTCCCAGCCAAATTTGGATCTTCACTCCTGGACATCACTAACAATCACTTATTAATACGTTATTTCGTTATAATTGTCACAGGTATTTAAAAAAAACAGAACTCGACGAGACTAGCACGGTGTCTGGTGTTACCTAAACCGGCGCATGTGTAAAAATCTGTGCCTATTAATTACATAGATGCTCCAGGACTATGCACAGACCTGATTAGTTTTGGGTAAAAATCCATGCATATTAATTACCTAATTTGCATAATATGTTAAGTCAATTTTCGGCTTTTGTTTGTTACCCTGACAATAATATTTGGGTGTTGATCAGAATCTATCTGCATCCCTGTAAGTACAATGTGATGTTATTTATAATTGGTTGCAATATTTTCAGTCCCAGTATATGTCACTCACTTGCATTCACTGACTTCTACAACATCAGGAGCAAACACTTCAAATCTGACAGCTCCACAATGGCAACCACCCACATGTCTCACCAATTTACTGCTCATTGTATGTAAATAAATAGCCTGCATTAAAAAAAAATAGTTGTAACAAGTAATTTCATTACCGGTACATAGTCCCTGTGAGTTTTTAAGTTTCAATCAAAGAAAGCTTAGAAAGAACTCCTGTGTGCTGAGAATATTCGAGACACATTAAAAAAGAAACTTGGCAACTAATTTTTGTCTGCTATTTGAGATGCATAACCTGTGATTCACATTATCAAAATTTATAATACATACAGAAAATACATTTGATTTTTAATCCATGGTTAGTCTAATTAGTTCCAGAGCACTTTTGCAATGAATTTAATTTAAATCTGCTTATTTTAGATATTATAAATGGAATAATAATAGATAATCAATATGCATGTTTATCAACATTAAACTAATCATGTCTGTGGATTACCTCAATGAATTATTATACAAATTAAGCAATTATTATGCATAGATTTAGGTCTGTAAATTGTTTCAGGGTGCACATGTACAAAGTTTCATTATGTATATAATTTATTCATAATACTGTAGGCCTCTCGGCCTCAAGGTATACTCATTGTAATTACATAACATGTTACAGAGGACAATGTCATTTTACAGTGACTGAAAAAGAACATGAGGGCGTTGTCGTAGAGTAAGGACGTGTTCTTTTGCCGCTCCCGCTGGATACGAAATTTTGACAAGTAACTGTATACCTGATCCTGTAATGGTTATTAGTTTAACAAAGTAATACTAGTGTGACAATTTCTCGTCATCATGAGTGTATCAGTGGTGCAGTGGAGGCAGAAAATCGGGTATTTTTTGCAACCCGTACAAAGAATGCAGAGATGTGACAGCGGCAGCCATTCAGGTGAGACCGAAAGATTAGACCCAAGTCTCGCTGTACGTTTGATGCTATTCTTTAGTTTACTATCTTGTGGCGATGTTGAATCGAACCCTGGTCCTAACCCTAATAACCCCACAAAAGGAGGATATAATACTAGATTACAACAGTCGACATTGTCTTTTGGTTCAAACACTCAAGAATCATCAACGCACGTACCGACACAGGTGACAGCAGGTAAAGACAATAGCGACATTGTTATTCAGTTGAAAGAATTTATCGACTCCAAACTGACACGTCTACAGATTTCTATTGAAGATCGGTTTACTAAACTGGAAAAACGGTCCGAAAATAATGTCAAAGAACTCAATAAAGTTTCATTATAATGTGATGATTAGTCAATCCTAACTAAATTAGTGGAAAGCTGAAAAGTAAATTATTATTCAAATTAGGTAATTATTATAGATGTATATAAACCTAAAACTAATTTGATCATCACATTGCGTTAGAGTACATATGTACCAAAATTCACTGAATTAAGATCAGTACTGTCACAGACTATGTACGAAGTTTCATTGAAATGTGATTAGAATAAAAATTATGATTTATTATGCGAATTAGGTAATTATTATGATCTGATGTTAACCCCAAGCTGAGCGGGTATTTGCATTGATATCTGAGATATCAGTGGAAAAGCCGATAATTGACTAATCATTATGCAAATTAGGTTAATTATATGCATGGATTTTTACCCAAAACTAATCACATCTGTGCATTAGTCCAGAGCATCTATGTACAAAGTTTCATCAAAATCTAATGAATGGCTCTTTAGATATCAGTGGAACAGTCAAGGAACAGCTAAAAATTAGCTAATTATCATGCAAAACAGATAATTAATATGCATGCTTTCAACCAAAACCTAATCAATTCTGGGCATTAGCCCAGAGCATCTATACACCAAGTTTCACTAAAAACCAACATGCGGTTCTTGAGATATCAGTGGAACGGACAGACGCACATACACACATACTTGTATTGCTATATGTTAACTTTTAATATAGTTGCGTTATGAACTCAATTAAAATGTGTTCCTATATAGGGTTGCATTTTAATTGTACTTTAATTAAACTCAATTACAATGCAATACAATGGAGAATTGCATTTTAATTAAGTTTAATTAAACAAGAGTTGAATATATCCCATGACTGAGCATAGAAATGTTTGCGAAGCTTAGGTTTAGTATCGGGGGAAGGTATGGTACAATTATATTAATATTAAAATAAACTGAAGCATACCTTCCCCCGATACTAGACCTAAGCTACGCAAAACGTATTAATAATCGAATTAACTATTA